ATTTTTCAGTACACCTCTTATTTTTGGTTCCTACATGGATATTTAAGTTGATTCTGGTATTATAATTATGATAATTTTCATTATATGTTATTTTCCTGCTCCAGTAGTTCGGAGATAGATACCATTGTTTCATAGTACACATAGTCTTTTAATGACATCCATTTCAATTCTCTCAACATGTTGACTATTGGCGTGTCTCTTGGTACACCCAGTATGATTCTCATGGCTCTATTTTGTTGCTTTTGAAGTCGATCCAACTCGTTTTTATTAGCAGTAAATAGTATTAAAGAACAGAAAGTAAGATGTGGTAAAACTAATGTATTATAAATTGTAATTTTCGACCATGTAGATAGACTAGGCGATACTCTCACCAGAAAATTTACCTTAGTGTTGATAGTTTTTATCACTTTAAATACATGTTCTTTGAATGTTAGTCCTTGGTCAATCAATACTCCCAAATACTTCACCACTGTTACGCTTTCAATATCCTCATTAGCAATCTTTATAATAATTCCTCCATTTTTGATTTCGTCATAACCTGTTTCCTGTAACATTGCTAGAGATTTCCAAGGCACTAGCATTGGAAACCATCTAGTAATAACGATTATATATATTGCATATTTTTTAAAACCTAAATTTCTATATGCCTAGCCTAAATTTCTATATGCCTAGTACTCTACGCTGACGATACGACTTTCACAAATTCCGAGGAAAACTTGAATCTTTAAAGGATAGTACGGCCATTACAATGTCCAAAGCATCAGACTGGTTCACTTCAGAACGGATGAATCTAAACGGTAGCAAAACTGAATCAATGATAGACATCCAGAATCAGTAAAGTTTTTGGGAGTATACCTGGACCTCACACTGAAGTTTCAATGTCATGTAAATTATATAGTCAGTAAAGTTAATGAAAGCATTTACCTTATAAAAAATCTTAGATCAGTAGTGGACGAGAAAGTTTGTGTGATGACTTTTCAAGTTCATTCAATCAGTTTGTGGCTCTACTCAAACTGACCCAGTTTGAGTAGTCCTTGCACTGAGTTCACTCAGTTATAGTCCTTTGGTTTAATCTTGGGTATTATTCTTTTTTTAGGTTAAATTTTTTTTAGGTTTCATTTCACTATTGATCTTAATCTTAAGTATTTATCTACACCTTTATAAAAACATGTTTTTATATTGGGTGCTGCCCGTTAGATAAATAAATAAATCATGAAGTTGTTTTCCGTTACTTTTCAGCTGAGATAGTATAATATTTTACATACTCACTGAAAATATTTTTCTTATAACATATCTGTTTGGAATACTGAAGTGATAAAAAACCATTGGCGCCTAATTCCAGAATTAATAATTGGAAGTTCACTACTAATTAATGACCTAAAAGCTTCCAGACAGAGACCTCTATTCAACCGTCTCTTTTTATAAATAAAAAAGGTTTGCAGTGCATTTAATGGGGAAGCAAACTGTCAATTTGTTGTACATAGAGGGCGCTAAGTGTTTGTCATCAAAAGATACATTGGTTATATGGGAACATTTGTGATTTTTCGCTTTCATTCAGAGAAATGGGTCGTTGTGCTTCTTTCGGGTGCAAAGAAATGGGAGTTTATAAGTTTCCTGAAGATACTGTTATGAGAAGAAAATGGGAAAAATCTTTGAGGATAGTAAAGTTCAAATGTACTGATCATTCTAGGTTATGTGGTGAACATTTCAAAGATTCTGATTTTGAGACTACTTCAAAGACAACTGGTAAGTAGCATTCATTCTACTTAC